TACGTATGATTTTAGTTTTTGGTAGGTACGTTTATATTGGTATACGACTATACGACAACGTACAGAAAAATTAGAATTTTTATGCATAGATGATGAGTAACAAGTGATATTGGTACTACAATATACCGTACATCTAAAACAAAACATAATTGTATGTACCTAGTATAGGTAAAAGCTGTATTTAAAAATGATTAAATCCATAACAGTAATGGTAATGTAAGTACGTAAATTCTATTGATTCTTTTGTTTTATCGAAAAGTACAGTAAAGTGTACAGTGACAGTAAAAAGTTAAACAAGTTCCATGTAGTTGCACTTTTATTTTAATTTGATAAAAATTGAAAACAGATGATATTAAATAATTTGATATTCTTCAAATGTATCAATAATTGTAGAGACAATCAGTAGTAAAATAACGCTGAAGAAAATATGTGAAAATGCCTAGCTAAATCTTTTTCGATGTCTAACAAAAAATCACTCTATAGCACTTTTATAAACTAGTAAGTGTTTGGAAAAGTTCTCGTTACAAAAGGAACGTATTCGAATTCGTCGATGATTGATATCAGTAAACCTGATCAATTTGCATTAATTTATTTAATTCTTCATAATTTGATTTAAGTATGAACAATTATAGTAAAAAGAGTTAAGAAGATAGTCAAACGATCTAGCAAATATACTACTGTCTAGAGGATACTGCAGGGCACAATGTGTGATATACAGTGCTGTTGTAAAAAAAACTACAGGGTACATACTCTCATTTAGGAATATATATTTTTTTTAAATTGATCTCAAGCCCGGATACTATGGCCATTAGCTGTTTTGTAAGTTTGTAGGTTGCAACCGACGCCTTAGTCCACTTGGCCACTCCGTCCCCCATCTATGAATATTGTGATGTTATAAACGCAAACCAATAGATGAAATCTTACAAAAAACCGTTGGCCTTACTCATAAAAACTATTTTACAAGATAAATTCAAAAGTCTTTAACTTTACAAAAATACATTGAGAAAGCAGCGTATTTGCGTATGGGTCTTATACTTTTATTTAATGTGTGGAATGATAATATGCACCTAGTATAGTGCATTTTAATTACATGTATCAACCTAAGTACCTATTATAATAACGATTTCATAGTACACATTTAACATGATAATTTTTTACTATCAAATTGCAGTTTGTAAAATGGTAGATAAACTCCACAGTCACACACAACGTCCAACAAAAGCAACATAATTTAATAAAAAAAAATAATTTTTCTGATACCTGATAAAATTCTTTTACATGGCCTAACTCTATAGTCTGTCCCATGATTATATTTAATTTAACAAGGCGGTCACTCTTATTACCTAGCTCAGCGGTTCCCAAACTTTTTCTGCCTCGGAGCCTTTTTTTAAGGAGAAGTTTCTCGTGGAGCCTCAAGAAATATTTAACGTTCATTTGCATGAATGACGATTTTCAGGACTTATGGAGCCCGTTTTGAACCACCATTCAGTAGAAATACACTGCGTCGTTCGTAAATACGTTAATTAAAATAATAAAAAAATGAAAAAATTGAATCAAAGAAAAAATTGACGTCTGCTGTTCATAAATACGCACAACAAAATAACAAATTTACCGAATTAAATATAATAATCACATGTCCGTCGTTCGTCAATACGCGCGATAAGCTGATAAAATAATTTAGTAATTGAGAATCAAACCTAAATTAAATGGTAGAAATTATCTAGTTTCAAGTATTATGTAAATTCTAAAATTAAATAATTGTACACAATTTTCTTATCGGAATTTTACATTGTACACGTTATACCGCCTTGTTAAATTAAATATAACCATAGGACAGACTATAGAGTTAGGCCATATAAAAGAATTTTATCAGGTAGGTATCAGAAAAATCGTTTTGTTTTTATTAAATTATGTTGTTTTTGTTGGACGTTGTGTGTGACTGTGGAGTTTACCTATCATTAAACAAACTGCAATTTGATAGTAAAAAAATTATCATGAGTGTTCAAGAGATTTCTATGAAATATATATTCGTTTAAATAATTTAAACAATTTCAAAATTATGAAATTTGTGTGTATTAACGTATGGAGCCCCAAGGGCTCTGCGGAGCACAGTTTGAGAACCGCTGACCTAGCTGCTCACGAACGATGGTTAACTAATTCGTGTCTAGTAATGATAATTAATCTTAACTATTTATTATGCTGTTCTAACATAAAGATTAAGGATATGCAACAGGCAAATCCGCAGATCGTCAAAGACAAAACACTGGACCGTTGACATAATATCATTAATATCTCAGAACTGTATTGTCTTCATATTGCTGTTATAAATGAGTAAAGATTTATCAAAGATTTTTTTCTCTGGATCTGATTTATTTATTATTTTTATCTCCAGTACTCCAATGGAGAGTAGGTAGGTACTTGCAGACCCCTGATATTGATAATTGATAAATGTCGTAATATGATGATGAATAAAAACAGATTGCTCAATTTTAAATCACATGCATATCGTGTATTTTTTTTTTTAAATGTTATGGTATACGTTCGTAAACGTTCTAATTTGCACCATTTTTACAGGATGTATCTAATTCAATAAATGGCAATTGGGTATCCCTTATACGCCTTATACCCTCCGAAACACCACTGAAGATATAAACATATGGACATTATTTAAGCGCGACATTACATATCATTTATTGATGTCGGATATAATATTAATAACTATTAACTCCATATGTAATAATTGAGAATTACTTTTTTATTTTTTGGTAATGAACAGTTCCTCATTTCTTTTCCATTTTTTAAAATTGTTTCCGATGTATTGCTGCAATCAACTATTTGAGTAAGTATTTTCAGTAGCCAGAAGCCAGTAGGTAGGTAAACTCAGTCTCAAACAGTTTGATTTTCTCCTTTTAAATAATTATGTATCTCACAGCCACACGTTATGTGGCATGTACTATTATACTATAGGTACCTATGGTATTTACCCTTAGGTATTTATGATTAGTAAATGAATAAATACATTTATTACTTAAAGGTAACTAAAAAAAATATAAAATTTTTCATCATCCAATGATTGATAGGTGATACTCTTGCACCACCATGATTTTTACCAAAAACAAATCATATATTTTTTATAATGGTATAATTAGCTTTTTTATAATGGTATAATTAGCTTTTTTTTATTAATTTATGACTTTATAAGTCAATGCCGTTGGTAGGATGGTGTGGATTGTTTCATAGTACCTATAACCTAGCTTAAAATTAATTAAAAATATTTCGTAAATTGTATTGGATATTACAAAAAAATTACTAAAACTGTTATTTTTCATTGGAATATTAAAGTTCATCAAAATTTGAAATAGAAAGTTGAAATGTTGAAATCCTATAAATAAAATAATAGTACCTATAGGCACCTACCTATTTATTTTTGTTTAAGTTGCTGTAAGAATAACATAATAAATAATAATTATGAGGAATTTTAAATTTGTTTTACATTTTCAAGCCAAAGTTATCAAAGTATTAAAATACTTTATAGCTAGAAATATTTTGACGTAACAATTTTAACTTACAAATCTTGCAAAGAAATTGTTTTTATGTATTTTCGATATTTTTACTATTGGTAAAATTTGTGAGGAATTTTGTGTTGAATTGAAGATGTTAAATACCTATTATATAGCTCAGAAATAGTTAATATCAGTGGCGTATATAGGGGGGAGGCCCCCTAGGCCAGAGCCCATAGTGAAATTGCAGGTTCAATTAAAGCATTGCATGTATATTTACACTGTTAACAGTTTTTCACCATGATTAAGTTAGCCGGTTGATTAAAATCATTTTTGAGTAATCTACAAGGAAATGTTAGATATATTGACGAGACTTGCTTTAATGACTTATTGACTTTGATGTTAAATTCATAGTAAGCTAACATTAAAATATACAAACGACACTGTCAATATTTTTAAAAAAAGAAACAAAAAATTAATTTTACATAATAATTATAAAATTGAATTGCGCAATTTTTATTTGAACTGTATAATACGTCATAATTCTTAATTATATAACAGCTGCTCCCTTAAAAATGTATAATTATGGCTATGATGCTTGACTAGTGATAATTGATAAATCGACCCATAGTGAAAATAATTCGTATATACGCCACTGGTTAATATAATTAATAATTTTTTATTAAAATTATAGCGTGTGTAGAAAATGATAGAATAAATAAATGGTGACAATTTAATGTATCTAAGGTGATTTGTTTATGAGTTAGGTAAACTAAACAACAAAATCGATTTTGTCAATAATGGTTTTGCTTAAAAATACTCGTTTTTCTCAATTTTTTTTCTGGTAATCCTATTGTTATTTAAATGAAACAGATATTCATTTTCTATCAGAAACTTCCCCTAAAAGTTGAAAATATAATCATTTTTTCTGCCCTCGTAGGTAATGAGTGATGACAGACATCATTGTAAAATTAATACATTCATCTGTCCCCTCAGAATCTAGAATATATATCATACGATGATTTCATAGTTATACATGTTATTATTAGTGCACGAATAACATGATAAAGTAGTATTAGATTATAAAATAAAGCTATGCCAGTTAGTAATACGCAGATGCGAATAGATGAATTTTCCATCCATATGTTGACATGTGGCATCAGTGTATTGGGTTATATGAGTCATTTTTGGAAACAACATTTTTCAGTTATGTAAAAATAATACAATTTATTGTTCAACAAAAGCATTGTATTAAACTACTAACTATTTTATTTTACAAAAAACTCTAAAAATCGAAGATATTGGAAGTACGTAACACGTATAATACGTACGTCGTACATAATTGGTAAAATGTCTACTATTCAACTGGTACCTAACTAATTATTTTAAGCTTTTTGCGGTTTAGTTAAATAAAAAATATTTTACAGGATTGTTTCATTGTCAATAAAAATAATTACATACAATATTTGAGGTAAACAAATTTTAAATGGTTTAGGAGCTATACATTTAAGTCAACGAGTGTTAATATTTTGGTTAGTGGTATTTGGAAATGATCGCATGATGATAATATCTTGTTCTCACTGACTCATACTTTATAATTTATAAAATGGCTAAGCCAATTTATTGCAGTTTACTTTTACTAGTTTTGTGCTTAACATTTGAAGCGTAAGTATTAATTAGTTATGTTTGATAAAAATATATGAATCAAGGAATACTAGGTAATTTAAATGCAATGTTTAGATATGGAAATCATCATCGTACAGTTAGGCATATAAGGCATATACCTTCATATAGGTTTTCTAATAATTTTGGTCCATATGATTCATCATCAACAGCAGCAGCAGAAGGAAAAGGAGCGGAAGCAGATGATGCAGCAACATCATTATCACCACCATCGCCTTTGAGGAGTAACATACAACTTAAAAACATTTTAACATACATATTTTCATATATTATTATCAATACTTATCATTTTTTGTTTTAGAATCATTAAGTTTCAACGATTATTTGGGGTATGACAGTAGTCGTGTATCAGGTCCAAAAAGCAAATCTCTGCGTGGTACAAATTCTGCTTCAACAGCAGCAACAGAAGCAAATGGAGAGGAAGCAGATGAAGCAGCAACGTCATTATCACCGTCATCGCCTTTGAGGAGTAACATAAACTTAAAAACATTTTATCATACATATTTTCATACAAGTATTATTATCAATACTTATTATTTTTTGTTTTAGAATCATTTAGTTTGAACAATTCTTCAGGGTATGAGAAAAATCGTGGATTAGATCTAAAAAATAAATCTTCGCGTGGTGTATATTATGGACGACAACCAAATGATATGGATTCAGGCGATCTGAATAATGACAAAATATTAAATAGTATGATGTCTCGTTTCCCAAATAATAAACCTTTAAGTGGTTTGTACAATAAAAACAATCCAATGGATTTGACTTCGCGAAATCTAAATATTGGAAAAAGACAAAATAGTTTAACTTCAAATTTTCAAGACATTCCAGACTTAACAAGAACAAAAATTAACCCATTAGCTAAGGGTATAGCACGACAAAATACTTTGCCTTCATCATCTAACGAAGATGATAGTCAACGAATCAGTTTTGGTAATGATAACTCAAATATGATGAGTATGATGAATTCTATACAAAAGCCATTAAATAACGGTGGATTAAATGGACAAAATATAATATTCAAATCATTTAGAAGGTGTTGTATAAATAATGAATGTCGTATGCTAAAGGACGGGGAGGAATGTAGTATTGAAGACTATTTAGTAAGTAATGTGATCAAATACAAGTTTTTTTTTTTAGTTACATTACGTTTAAAAGTAGCATAATACAACATATTTTCTATAGTTTTTGCTTTTTTATGATAGTATTATGAATATTTGTACGACTTCAGAGTTCAGACTCATTAAAGACTCATTAAAGAGCACGACTAAATCTTGTGTAAACTGCTTCTTATTTTTCTCGATCAAATTCAATTGGTCCATAATATATTATGTTTTTTCTTAAATTAAATTGAATTTGCCCATCTACCCAATGAATAATATTTTTATATGCTAAAGAATAATGTTCATCGATGTTTAAAATGTTGCTAAAAATGATTCCCAAGTCTACAAAATGTAAGCACTTTTAATCATTAAAGAATTTTTTGACCTAGGTGACCAATGTGGTATTATTAACCATTATAATAATATTTAAAGTTCATAAATTTATAAAATTACAGAAAAATAAACAACAACCAAATAATCCAATGCTCACAACTTCCAGTAATGGAGACCATGATTTGAGTGATATAATGTCAAAATTCAAGTTAATTGGTCAAAGCTCGTTCAATGGCTTAGAGGGCAATAAGAACAATTTTCAAGAAACTAGAAAACCGACAAATATGCAATTGGGTTCAATGAGATTTTCAACAATTCCCTCCATTGGTTCGAGTAATGGTATGGGTTCATACGTTAGCATGCCACAAAAAAGAAAAACAATAAATTACCCGCACTCAGAACCTTTTGATATGACCGAAGACGAAGCTAATGAAATCCGAGAGCAAGTCCTTCAAAAATCTAATTTGTATAGAGAAAAATATAACCTCGATCCATTTGTTTTGGATGATCAGGTAAATGACTAAAAGTATTACTTAGTCATATTATTTTGAAATAAATACATTTAAGTATAGCCCGCTGTGTAGGTTTATGCATTAAAAATAAGTATTAGAAATAACGAATATTAATATATTAACAGATACAGGCGGGAATCGGATATTTTGTTTAAAAATAACGTTTTAATGAATTCTGGTTGAAAAAATATATATAAAAAGTAGAAAGTCACTGGTTTCTAGGTGGTTATCGGTTGCAACTTAAATAACACAAAAAATATCCCCGGAAACCAAAAACAGCTGGTTTTTAATATATTGTATGTACAATATTATATAATGTATACTGTGTATGGTTACACTAAGTTGACCAAAAAAATAAAATAAAAATAAGGATCACTTTAAAAAACAAAAGAAATGTGATATAAAAATGTATCATTGTTTTTAAATACATAATGAATTATAATAGTAGGTACACGTCATAATAAATTTTATTTTGATACTGTTGGCTAATTAATTAAGATTATGCATATATTTATGTTTAAGTTACCTAACTAATTATAATATAATAACACAACTTCAATGCATCTGTGTACAATGCGGTTGATAACGATAATATCAGTGAGCTAGTACCCACGGACGTGTAAGGGGGAGAATGAGGGTATCATATCCCCCTTTTGACTTACTTTTGTCATATAAAATATATGATAAAGCAATGAATGTATGTATAATGTAGTCTGACTGTCTGACAATAGTCAACAACTCATATCCCACCCGTTTCGAAAAATCTTAGCAGGCCAATTTTTTCAGTAGTTACTACAACACTACCTATCATTTAATATGACGTTTATGTTCTTTTATGAATTTATATAAAAACAATTATAATTATAAGGCGTAATAGGTAGACCATTCAGGTACACCATTTTTGTGAGTTCAGTTTTCAAGTAGGAATCTCATAACTATTGTGGTTTATTAGTACATTAATAAGTGGAGTACTTAGAATACGTGTATTAATACTTATTATTGTGGATTAGCCTTAACTACGGTGAGAGCAACTTGTGTAACATCAACTAACTATGCATTAGACCGAAGATATTCAAAACTTTTTCGCCCTGCACTCTTTTATGTATTTACAATATTTTGACGGCTCCCAAATTATTATGAAACAATAAGGATACAATTTGGCCAATAGGGATGATAATAACAGTGACTTTAGTGTTAAAAATAAGACATCAAAATGATGGTTGCGTGATGAGTATTGTTATTATTTTCATAATCGCTTTAAGTGGCCTCGTATAACTATTATTTAAGGGGCAACATTTAGGCAATTTCTAATCTCGTCTTAGCTTCCCAGGATCTATATGTTAGTTATAAACTTAAAAATGATTTTTATTAGTGTGAGTGAAATTCAATGCTAGTATCACTTTCGTAAGTGCATGCACATTGCACATGTCAATAACTCGATAACATAATAAAATTCATTGTACGAGTTTTACAAATTATTTACAGTTTTAAAAGTTAGTTAACGTTGTTTAATTTTGATTCTGAAAAAATATTTGAATTCAACAGAAATATGTTTCTAGAAACACTTTCCGTTTTTAATTTTAATTATGATAAGAAAAAGTTCACAATTATTTAAGATTTAATTTTTAGATAGTGTTCTGTACGATCTACAGATAGTTTATTTTTAATTTCAATTTTTTTTTCAGAAAAAAAATTGAACAACGTAAATTAACTTTGATTAAGTTAAAACTCAAGGTTTTTGAGCTAAAATTTACGGCAGTACCGAGGCAACTAAATGGCTATAAATAATATTTATATTAATTATACACGACCTACATTGATTTTTGTTTCCGGTGCTTTGACGTGGCCCCCCTTTCGCCAACTCTCGTGACATCCCTGGCAGTCGCTGTACACAATTTGAATACCTCTACATTCGATATTAGAATAATTTGAGTAACCTAACTAGAGGAATAACTTTTTAGAAATTACATCTTATGACACTTGCGAGTGTTACAGTATCCTCTCAAATTGTAAACGAATAGTATTCATTCCTAAGCAAAATAATCACGTCATTATGTATAACTGCTTACAGCAGACTTTCCCAAACTGTGGGTCGCGATTATACTTTTGGTGAATCGCGCTATTTTTTTAAATAATACAAAAATATAATCATCTATTACTTTTCGTTGATGTTCGAAGTTCAAATTCAGTTTTATCGTCAATCCTTATCTGTGAGTGTGACAATTACGAGTTTACTAGCGGCCGTGTCAAATGGTATATATTATATTTATTATACTTTTTTTTCGTAATTACATAAAATTTAATAAAATAGTTTAATTTTCTGTTGTATGGTACAAAAAAAAAAGGTCATTCATTGATATTGTGGGTCGCCATATTTTAAAAAATTTTCAAAATGGGTCGTACAATAAAAAGTTTGGGAACCTCTGGCTTACAGAGTAGGGAGAGCGAGGTTAGTTGTTAAACTTTTGACATATCGAATTTTTATAATTGTTCTTTAACTATGATCATAATCGTTGTAAAATAATTTTATAAAGTAACTTCCTAGGTACCTTTTAATGATAATAAAGTGAAAAAAATTTAATTTTTAATACTAAAAAAACCCTAGTCAAATCACTAAGTCAAAATGTAACAGCCTGCCCCTGGGTGGGGTAAGTTGTTATATTCCAGGGGCACATTGTTACAGTCTACATTTTTAAATATTATTACTCAAAATAAATAAAAAATTAATTGTAACAGTAATTATAAGCAGTGGTGTAGTCACGGGGGGTGGGGGGTTAGGACGTAGGGGGTTCTTTCTTACAACTTGAAAAGTATAAACATTTTAATATTTTATTTTTTCTTAATTTACTATAACATGTTATTATTATAATAAACCCCCCACTATATTAAGGTATAGGTAAAACAAAATATAAACAATTCTTCATTTTATTTATTTGAGCCAAGTCGTTACATTAACAAGATGTAACAATATGCCCCTGTCGAAATGTAACAACTTACCTCATATGGTTTTTTTTCTAAGATAATTTATTTATTGGAAATGGATTATTAGAATTGAATTATATTATTAGAATATGATGCAGAACTATGTAATGGACAATTAATATTAAGTGACAAAATAAATAATAATCTTACCTTATGTTTGTTTTTTGTAATTCAAAACGGCATTCGAAGAAAAAAATTTACTTTTCATAAGAAAAACAGAAAAATGTCGTTAATTCTTATCGCAGATAAAATATATTCGATATTATCACAAAACATGTGGACTTAATGATAATAGAAACTATTGGTTCAGTCCCCACAGTGTAACCATAATTGGAAGTACAACATTTCTTGACTGTAACAACTAACCCTTGTAACAACTAACCCCGCTCTCACTATATATAGTGTATTTTACATAGTATAATAAAGTTTTTGTACAAATTATTTTTATTGAATTTAAAAAAGTAAGAAAAATTGGTATTTTTAAAAGTATTAATAACGCTAGTACGCAACAAAAAAATAATTGAGATTTATTTCTTTAAATGTGTTTTTTCATAACATTAAGTATACTGTCGTATGATAACTACCCCTCGAGATACATTGTATATTAAATCAGAGAGTAATTAAGTAAATATTTCCATAAGATACTGTAGTCATTCACGAAAATGACTGCAGAATTCTATATTTAAAACAACTAAATATAATGTGATTAATCATAATATCCTGTATTTTTCATGGAAATATTTCAGTTTCAATTAAATATTAATAACGTTTTAGTCGTATTATGAAACGCGTGCTCGAATACCTGATTATTAAGAATTTTACCTGCTAAATTAAATCATTAAGTAGGTAAAACAGATAATATCATAATTTATCGATTGTTATTACTACAGATACTTAATATTGTCAGTAATAAATGCTACTATACTAACTTAAAATTCCTTCTTAACAGCTGCCATTAATGCGGCGATCACAGCATTATTGTTTACTCAATATAAATTTAAAGAAATGATAAAAACAACAATGTACTTTTTCATAACTTTTCTTTATTATATGATTTTTCTTTTAGTTGACCAATTGTGCCCAAGACTGGGCTAATAAAATGGCGAGAGATAATAAATTTGATCATAGAGAAAATAACGCATACGGAGAAAATCTGTACGGTAGTTCAGAATTAAATAATTTAGGTGAAAAAGCGGTCGAGTCATGGTACAATGAAATACTTCAGTTCAACATCGATGACGACGAAGAAGGATTGAGCACAAATACTCCAATACGTAAGTAATTCATTTGAAAATAACGTACAGATATGGTTTTATCTACGAATTCGATCATTTTGACATATTTTATGAATCATTTGAAATATTTTCATTAATCATTTAAAGCGTTTAATAATACTTAAGGCGTCTGAATGTACCTATTTTATATTTTATCGAACAGGGATAAATACTTTAAAAAAGCAAAATATTACACAAGATATTTTTATCATTCAAGGTAAAATCAGCATTATTGAATCAATTTCGATAGCAATAAAACAGTTGATAATAATATTTCTAGTGATCGATATAATATACTTACTATAACTACCCAATAAAAGTAGTTTAAGGTACCTCATACCTCCACAAGACCTTTGTAAACATTTAACCATGATTGGTGTGTGTCCTTGTTAAAATATTTCAGACCTTCAACAAATAGTATACGTATATGATACGTTAAGACCTTAAGTATTATTATCCTCAAATTTTAGATCATATGACGCAATTACTATGGAAATCATCAACGAAATTGGGTGTTGGTGTATCAAAAAATTCTGCAAATGGTATGTACAATGTTGTGGCCAACTATGATCCCGCGGGAAACTTGGGGAGTTTTTACAAAGAAAATGTACCTGATATAAAACAAGAAGACATTGAAGAGGCGAAGGAATCACAAGCAGAACAAGCAGAACAAGAAACAAGTTGGTCTTCAAGGTCAAAATCTCCATTACAATCCCAATGGAATTACGGGCCATATTACAACTAGAATTATTATGTATATCTGTCAGCAACTGAAACGTAAAATAATTAGAAATATATTTATACAATATAATATAATAATTTATTAAAATTATTGAAATATAAAATACCAATTTAAATGCATTAAACTACAATTATAGATTGTGAATATTCATACTCTAATTTATTATTAAACTATGAAAATTGTCTTGTTACTTGTCGGGGTATCAGAGTTTTTTAAATTTTAAATAATTTTTTCATCATAACTCATAAGAAGTATTCATAACGTCATCAGTTAATATCTATCACTAATAATACCTATAATTTTATTAGGAACAGTTACCGTTAAGGTTGAGTGTGTGATTAAACATTGAATTTTAATTTAAATTATGTATTAGGTGCATGGTACAATATACATAAACTAATAACAACATAAAATCCAAAACCTTTTTCAATCCTTCAAATGGAAGCTTAAAACCAGTATAGTGAGAATTTTCCTTACAATTCATTCAATGATACTTGATTGATACAATTTTAATATTTTTACGCTATAGAATAAGAAAATAACATTTAACATGGGCCAAATAAATTTTGAATACTCCAAATGTATTTAAATAGTACCTAATTTAAGGTAAAAGCATAAAAATAGAATTTGACGTCACCGCTGCCTTATTTGTATACGCAGCATATCAAAAATGTTCAATACCTACGTGTAATTTATTCATAAAAACAATAACTTAAATTATTATGTTTAGTCTCAAGTGCTTACTAAATGTTATTTAAAATTTGTTAAATTAAATGTTTTTAAAATCTCTTCGAAGTAAACGTGTAATAATAGTTATATTTTTAACTTAGATGATTTTTTTAGGGCTGGATACAGTTTTTTTTTTGCCAATTCCAAATAACCAAGCCGATTTTTTTTTTAATGAACAATTGTTTCTCGGTTAGAACAATACCCAAAAACGTATCTACGATTCCTGTATTGGAGAGGAATTCCCTTTGCGACGGAAAAATGTCGAGTAGCAATGTAGCTGTTGCATTTTCTCCACTAGACCGAGGTATTAGAGATATTCCGAATTCATATCATCAAAAAAATCAAGGTAGAAAATTGCACCATCTTTAATTTTCAGATAAAAAGGTTATTCTTGTAGGACATTTGGCCATGTAGAGTTATCATATTTTGTTTTACTTAAACCAGGAGGAACGTATATATTTATGAGAAAAATCGTATCACTTCTGCACGCTCAACTGACAACTACATCCTATTTTTCAGTAACTGGATTAATCAATATACAAAAATCAGCACTACCTATACGTTTATAATTTATACAGGAATTTTATTAGGAAGTCTCATCGAAATATATACGCCAAAAATTTCTTTGGAAAACACGTTTGGGGCGTTTCAAGAATATGAGTTACCGAGTGGGTTCATTGTAAAAACACCTATGGACAAAATTGTATGGGAGATAGGAGATTAAAATCTGGTGCAGCAAGAAGCACGGTTTTTATTTTTTCAATTTTAAGTCGAAAAAATAAAAATAATTGTCAGTCAACCATGTAATCAACTCGTTTGTATTATCATTTATAATATACTATATTTTTACAATATTATTTTTCTACTAGAACTATTTTAGAGAAAATTAAATGTTAACATAATATAATAAATAATTATTGAAGTTTAATTCTAGAACGATTGTTCGTCCTGAAACACTTCATGGAGTACATCGGGACATTATCTTCAAAATCGGAATAGTCCCGGCCAAACCGTGATTTATTGCAAGTGGTAAACCTAGGTTTAGGTTACCAATAAATATTAATACAGTATTGTGAAATGATGAAAATTATAGGATAATGTTCAAGAGTGAAATAAAAAGGAACACATGATGATGTTTTTGTTTTTATTTATTCTTCGAATCGTCATCAATACTATAGCTCTGGAGACATTTTCAATAAAGTAGTTCAATTGTATATGAATAATTGAAAATATAAATTTATACTTTAGATAAATTCTATTATGTAATCTTATAAATAATAATTATAAATAAATTTGTTTTTAAATATTTCTTTTGAAATAACCACGATAGTATTTAACACTTTTCAATTGTACATGTTACCATAATAGTATAATGTATTAGGTATTCCGTATTACAGGATACTTACAAATTTAATAAGAAATTAATTTATTATGATTAAAAAAAAAAATCTAATTTTCATTATTCTTTAATCTTTATATTATTAGCAGTTTCTGTTTAAATCGTCATTGTTTCCGCTATGGTGGTCTCTTCTTCCTTAGCGAAATTCGAACGTTTCATTAAATGAATAATATATGTTTTTGAATCCAATCGTTGGGGTAAATGCCAAGGTAATTGTCTCGGTATTTATGGCCCAGAAGTATCCGGGTCTTCGACAACTACGTATGGTAATGTCGTTGAATGTTTAACATAGCCAACGTTCTTAAACAAGCCCAACGAAACGTTGTTCTTCTCATTGATAAGTGCATGGGGAGAGACGCCATTCTCACCCATTACCTTTGTTACTGCCAACACAATCAGCTTACCAAATCCACGTCTTCTGTAATCTGGCTGAACTATCAAAGTGCTAAGACCTCCGTAACTGCCACACATGGCCCACGCCAATAGCTCGCCATTGTGCCGGCTGAACACACCTAAACCAATGTTGAGCCTTACTGTATCCCAAAGATCGGACTTGGGGTAAACGTCGCTGTGAGTCCATAGCGAATAAATAAAGTCAATATGATCCACGCTCAGTTGGTCAATAAAAACGTCGTCTGGAACCCTAGAAACAAAAATAATTTATAGATAACCAAATTTGAACGGACCAATTAAAATTCATATTTTAATGAGGTATACAAATTATTTTAAGAAAACTGATAAAAGTTTCCTCTTTTTTATACAAAATGTTTTACACTCTGTAAGAGAGATGTATACGTTTGTCTTATCTGTTTTATCTTATCTTTAATTATTACAAATTACAATGCGTTGGCTATTAAACATAATTTAACGGATTATTTAAATGACCTTGCATCCATTATATACTCACAAATCTCAATCGGTATTTAGAACTGTTATAAATAATAATTCATAACCAAAACTCATGGATTAAGTAGGTATTTATAGGTACATAATAAATACTTTCAATTTATCAGTTTAAATTAAAAATTCATTAAATATAATTGAACTTTTTACCTTCGTATAAAATATAAATTAATTATCCGTATCTCGTGGGTATTTTCATATCTTTCCAACTATGAAAATTAAAGAATAAACACATACTTATAGGTATCTAAAGTGATTTTAAGCGCATAAAGTCTCGAGTTCTAACTGGTTAATATTTATAAGTAGGTTGTATAATTTATAGAAAATGGAATTATTACTAATTAATGTTCAATTATAATCACGGACTATTAATATTACGATCTTAGCATTTATATCACGAATTATTTAATCTTAACCCATGTTTATAAAAATGTGATTAGGAAGTCTTATAAATGGTAACAGAACTTTGGAAATATTCAACAACAATACTTTATTGTTTAATTTTTATCCATTCGAGTATTCGACATTCACCTACATTATAACAGTTTACAAAATTCCATATAAGGTACAAACACATGATATTAAGATTATGAAAAATATTGTTTCGAACTTGATTGAAATAAGTGTACCCGGGTAGATTGAAGGTTTTTAGTAATAAAAGAACAATATTAATTATTTACCTATGTATTAGCTATACTTTATAAGTGTAATTTACAGATTGAATAAATTGCTGTATAATTATTAAAGTCGTGTTTAGTATACAATTTTAGCAACAACATAAAAAACTATAACAATGTGTTGTAGTTTAATATTATAAATCATGGAACATTTTTAGACTAAATATTTTAAAAGTTTCAAGATCCTAGTATAATACAGGTGGAATTAATAACTACACGTGACAGTTTTGGACTGGGTGCCGATGTTTGCTGTCACTGTCTAAAAGCAATAAAGTAAAAACAACCCATTTCTAGTTTATAAGTACGATTAATATTATAATTTATAAATACAGATTTAAATTCAGCGTGGAGTCATGCGATCGATTAGAAAATTTTTGTCAATTTGAAATCAAATGTTTTGAGATTAAGGAGTGGAGTTCGAAATAATATCCTGGTCGATCTCATGTACACTTTACAGTTTACACTAAATTGAAATTTGTTTTTTTTAACATTAATTGACTCATTAACTATTTAGCGTAACTGTTGCAACGTTTTCTATCATTTAAATAAAAATTTACATCATTGACTACCTTTCGCAGTACCAATATTCATAAATACATATTAATGTTCACATTTTTAGGCAAACCATTATAATATAATATTATAATCTTAATAATTATAATACGTAGATAAGACATTTATCATGTATGCGTCCAAAAATAGATAATATAAAAATAAATAAAAACGTGCGCAAAAGATTAAAATCACGAGCCAAATATTATACTATGCATATTATACTCATTATAGTATCTATAGATTCTAAATACGTAAATGTGTGTAATATCGTGTACATACTCACAAGTTAAAAACTGAACTTTGTCTTTCATAAAAATATTTAAAAATGTAACTAACAATAAGTTCCGAGGTCAAAGATCAAGATCCCATTATAATTTCAATATTTTGATTATACGTATACAATATACATAATACATAGTAATACATAATAGGTAGATGAAGTTCAATCTAAAGGTATATCTTACTCATAATCTAATCTAGCGGCTACATCGGCCGGCATCCACTTAAGCACAGCATTTGAGTACAGTTTACTTTTCAATCCTTTTTCTTCAATCATCGTTTCCACGATGGCCTTCATCCTGAACGGTATAGCTTGGAACAGCGGTTTCTTCTGCCAGTTGATGATCTCTGTGCTAAACAGCATCCTTCGGAATTGTTCTTCGTTCCCCGGACAGGTGTATGTGACAACGACATCTGGATATTCTTCTTCCTGAAATTAATATTACTGTGCAATTCGTATAATGTATCTTCCAGCGTCGTGGATGAAAAAAATCCTAGAATTAAAAAAAGATTCTTAAAAATAACAACAATAATCAGATGTTTGGCCGCGTAATTATCTAAAACATCCGAACCTTCAGTGTAGATCACATTAAAATTCATAACAATTTAAACAGCTTATAAAACAAACAATTGTAACCAATTAGTACTTTTTAAGTTTTGCTGTATAAAAATAAAATGGTCATCGCATTGAAATTATTCTTATTATTCAACGAATTTCTTTATTATTCGTACTTACAGGTCGTGATAAAATCCCAATAAATGTTCCATTTTCAACGTCATTAGAAATATAGAATAATTTGTAACTCGATGCCGAATTTTTGCGCATCCATTGAAATGCATTTTTGATGAAATAATATGCCTGGAAAGTAAAAAATACAAATGAACAAGTGCCGAACTAGTGCTTAATAATAAATAACCTTTTTATTATGTGATGTATATTAAATATTTTGCAATTGTGTATTCTATTACGATCTACGTAGATTAATTGGACAGATGGATGTATATTTTAATTTTATTATTTATAGTAAATACTCTTAAACAATTTAACTGAATTAAAAAAGTTTAACCTATGCACTTGACAGTTTTCTCACAATCTTAAAATAATTTCAATAGGTAACACGGAAATTAATTATCAAATACAGCGATTAACAATATGTTCAATGAGCTGTATAGATAACGTTTGTTACGTGTTATGTCTAGACGCCCAGTACCGAGCCTAATACCTAATAGTATGTTATACAAATGATGTGCATAAATAATATGTAAAGATTTTTCGTTAAAATGGTCATGTTTAAAAACTATAAAAATGACACCAAATTATTGATAGTTGTAGTTATATTAATGTAATAATTGGGAGTTGCAGATTCGAATATTGTTTTTAGAATTTTAAATATACCAAAATTAAACATTATTTTTAGAAAAACCTATTATTTCTCAAACATTACTTGTAAGTTGTAACTTATATAGTATTATGAATAGAAATAGCACCTTATACTAAAATTAATTTATTCAAAATATAAATATGTGTCATACAGTAACAGATAGGTTATCAAGATTAATGGTAACCTCTTGATTGGTTACCTTAGTTACCCAAAGAATGAAATAGAATTTATTTTTGATTTTATAGTTATGTTTTATTCAGGCATAATAAGCTATACATGTATGTATTATGTAATCTTGTACGTTGATATGTCCAGTTGATACCTAAAGGTACATCGAAGTCGTTATTTTTCGATTTGTTGGCCCAAAGCCTAAGGTGATTGGGAAAAACTACCAACAACCAACGGGCAACAATGGTTTAAAAATTAAAAATATTAAAGATACCTAGAATCGTCGCAACCGTGGTGTTATTTTACAAGAGAACTGTTCAAAATCTAATTTTTCCATCTCAACCGCCAATTATTATTGTTATTGCTTTCAAAATTATAATTATTATTAATTAATTATGCCGAAGTACACCGACAAAACACTGATGCCAAACATTTGACTTTGCTTCATACTAGAACGGGCTTTTACGCATATCAATGTTACTTTGAATAGAAACTTATACATTTATTTATTTACTTGCAATTTATTTAGGTTAATTTAAATTTTGCGTATTATTTAGTATTAATTGCGTGTTTTACGAATTTGTAACATCTACCTCACAAGGGAGTACCCAAATAAAATATAGCTATGCGATTTGTTTATAGTATGCATTACATACAATGGCTGTCATATAGTATGCGGTCTACCGGTGAATTTACGAGTATAGTATGCGGTCTACCGGTGATTTACGAATATAGTATGCGGTATACCGTGAATAAATAAATTTAAAATACCATAATATTATAGTATAATTTATAGTAGTAGTAATGTCTAGTAAAAAATTAATAATTAAAAATTTGTTAGTCAAAAAATTTGTTGTCAATGAATATAAATAAATATAATATAATACGTTATACAAAAACTTCCGCCATATCTCTTAAAAATGCATTAAATAAATCTGATTTATTTATTCCTCGCCACCATGTTTCCATGAGATACCTGCAATAATATGTATACTATTACATTAAATTTATTAAACATAACTTATAATATTTTTACCTTGGAAGGAGATCAGGACTTGTACCACACATATTTTTAACTACTTTTAAGCGTAATGGTCTCCATAAACTTTCGATCCTCTGAGTGTGCGCTTGTGTTAGTGGATCAACAAAATTTTCGCTGTGGTTAATTTTCTCACCTTAAGCTTTGTGTTGTTTGACATCCCTTTCTCTTACAACGTAAAACTCTCCTTTCCTTACCTCTCTCCTT